GCCAGCCTGGAACCCGGGGACACGAGCTCCACGACAGATGACGGACAGAGAGGGTGACGCAGAGCTCGGAGAAAGCAGAGCTTGGAAAAGGCAAGTGATGCATTAAAACGGGGAAAGGCAATCAGAAAACTCTAGAGAGCAGAGAAAAAAATGACGTGAAATAGAATTCGTGCCGATATAGAATAACCTGAAAATTGATACGATTCTATGGACCTGGGGGACATAAGGAAAGAGCCACGTGGCTGCCCTGGGAATGGCCTCAGGGCCGGTGCTGCGCTCCACTCCCCAGGTCAGGAGGCCCACATCCTACTGCTCGCCACGCCTAAAGAATCACCCCACACCAGCGCAGGTCCAGAGCCACAGGTGACCCCCGCCCACGGCACCTGCACCTGCACCGAGTGTCACCTACATGCTACACGGTCTGCACTCTTCGGGGGAGTCCGGGGGGCGGTAGAAATGGCTTGTCTGACACTGGCACATCTGGTCGCTGGTCACAGTGCAGTTCCTCACGACTTCCTCTTCTGTAGAGGAGGAGAAAGCGGGTCAGTGCAAGGGGGCGCCCTGTCCCTGTGTGCACATGTGGACCTACGTCGTCATCTGAAGCGGAGACAGCGTGGCCCCGGTGTAGACCTCGGCCAGCGCACAGAAGATGCACCAGGATGGCCCCGAGTGCTGGTGATCGCCACAAACCCCGCCATGGGCACCCTCGCCACATCCTCGCACACCTGCCTCCCCACCCGGAGTCGGGGCGCGGGCTCAGAAACGGGGTCACGGCAAATCTGGGTAGGGACTGGATGTCAGGGGGCTGCTATTCATCCTTCTGGATGTGTTCGTAGCACCTGCCTCACTTGTAGGAAGTGGGCGTCGTGGTGATTTGGGGTGAAGGACGGTGACACCTGCAGCTGACTTCGAACTGGTTCGTGTAGACACACACACACACTCACACACACACACACACACACACACACACACTCGAGCGTGATATAACATCGGTAGTTGTTCAACTGTCGGAGGACGTTATATCAACTCCCTCCATTTTATTCACCCGACTTTTCGATATAGTTTGAAGTCTTTCATCATAAAACATTCCCATTCCCTGAGGGGTAATTTTGAGCTGATTACTTTTGTGTGTGTGTGGAGGACGAGGAGCGCAGCCGCCTGGCCTCATGGGCACTCACCCGTAGGGCAGCGCTTGCAGCAGGAGCTGCCAGTCCAGTACTCGTCCGGCCTGCACCTCCTTCCGCTGGGGGGCACCTGGCTCTGCTGGGAAACCGAGTCTGTGGAGGCGGCCACCGTCAGCTGGAAAAGGACAAGAAATGCCACGGCGCTGCCCGCGGGGGGCGGGGCCCCCTCTGCCGCCCTCGCAACCCGTCCTGTCCCCTGCTCCCCCGCCGGCCCCTGCAGCGCCAGAAAGAGCCCGGCTTGCAGTCGCAATGAGGGGATAGGAGCGAGATTCTGAAAAACGAAAAGGTGAAAAGGTCCCACGGAAAGAAAGAGAAATCCAAGAGTGATCAGGGGTCCGGCGGCAAACGAAGCCACTGATTAAAATGACAACTGCGTTGCAAGAGCAGCTTTTAAAAAGCCCAGCTTTTAGTCCGGGAAGACTGAAAGCATTCCATGTCGATGTATAATAGAAAAAAAATTGTACTTTTT